AAGTAAAAAAATATTTCATCTTTCTTTGGTCTGCGCAAAGTACGCAGCCTGCGGGAGTCATTAAGTGAGACATGTTTCCGCTGAATGGATGAGAGGCATCTGGCCATGTGACTTCACAGCAACATATCGCGTTGCGTAAGTACGGCTGCCACCCAGGGGTGCCGAAATCACCGTCACAGAGGGCAATGTAGTATCCCGCCCTTTTGAGCCAGACGCAGTATCCTATGTAGTCAAGAAATGATGACAACTAAGTCAATCGATATTTATAACCATCGTTGAGATAGGTCATTGAAGTGTTAGAATAGCAGAGGCTTGGTGTGCTTGTTTTATCTATATTCATATTTAAGGCAGGTTTAACGGATGCACAATAAAATTTCTAAAAGCGCGGAAGCTTTGTAAGTAAATGTTGCAACATCTATGTGTGAATTAACTTATTGTATTGACTTGTGTAGGTTGAGAAAGTTTCCAGAGAGCACGTGCACGATGCAAACACACCACACGCCATGTCGAATGTGCAATACAGACCTTGTGTTTCCATGAGCTTCCCATGCGCTTGTGACTCAGAACGTCATAGGTATTTTTAACTGTGATAATTCCCATTACGAGCTAGGGCAGGCTCGGGCAGTTATTGAGACGTGTAATCAGTCAACCAGGAGGAGCCATGTCAGTAACCAACCACCGAATTAGAACACCCCCTCTCCCTAACGCCCGTCGACAAGATTTTATACACATCCGCATTTCCAGAACTGTGTTATAGAAATACCTAATATTCCGTAAAGGGCTGCAGTGCAAAATATCTGGTGAATAATAAAGAATGTTTCGAGTCCATTTGCAATCTCTGACCTTGTTGAGCGATCTCGCGCTTGTTGATCTATGACCGTAAAAGCGGTGGTGAAAACCCATCTAACACACCTCATCATCACCATCAGCCTGAATACACGCACTGCAGGACACAGGTCTCTTTCATGTCCCGCCAGCCAACTCGGTCCTGTTTTCTGCTGCTATTTTATACCTGCAAACTTCTTATTCTCATATTTGCACCTAACTTTCTGTCCCTCATCGTGCGTTTGCCTTCTCTGGGAATCCAGTCGGTCGCCTTTAATGACGAGCAGTTATCCTGCCTACGTGCTGCGTTCCCAGCCCATGTTCATTTCTTCTTCTTGATTTCAACTATGATATCGTTAACACCGGTTTGTTACATGACCCACGCTGTTCTATTCCTATATATCTTAAAGGTAAACCGATCATTTTCTTTTCCATCGCTTACTGCGTCGTTCTCGATTGAAGCTGAACCCTATTTGTCATTGTTCCTGCACCCTTTGTCGTAAAGCTGATTGCAAAATCTGAAGGGATGACTTGAAGTTACAGAACTACAGCCCATTGTTAAGGTCGCATTGCTGTTAATATGGTTCTGTGGTACACTTTGAACTTTACAGTGACGTGTTAAGCCTGGACGACAACAGGTCAAGGATGACAACAGGATCAGTATATAAGTGGGTTCTTTGGCCATATTTTTCATTGAGTGGCGACAATGTCACCTGTCGCAGGACCACTGTTGAATGACGGCTCTTGTTCTTCACTCCCGGAATAATGAGGCACACCTGTGGTTGTTGTAGGCACCATAAATGAAAGGGAATAAGTGTTTAACGAAGTTTTATCGAAAGAACATGACGTGGTGTTGCAGTGGTTACCGGGGCATTGTGGTATTGTCGGTAACGACCTTGCTGATGATGCTGCTTGATTCGCCCACGAGGACGCCCCGACCACAATATCTTTCTTGAGAACCAACGCAGCAAGGGGTTTCGCTCGTTCGCTAACACATTGTCAGACACTTGGCTGAGTGACCCCAGTGTGGGGAATTACCGCCTACATAAATTGGACCCATCGAGAAAGCTTCAAGTTCCATCGAAACTCTCCTGCCGGAATACAACTTTAATGTGTCGCCAGTGGCTAGGAGTAGCTTTCACGAAGACGTATTTTTTTCGCATAAGAATGGCGGATATCTCCAGATGTGAGTCGTGTAATAGTGAAGAGTTAATAAAACATCAACTCTGTTCATGTGATTGTTTTGCGAGCGAACGCAACGTGCTACGCGAATTGTTAAAGAAACTACATAGTAGACCTTTTTCTGAAGAGAAAATTTTCGGTTCATGGCTCTACGCGTCGCAGGCCAGCAAAGTGACGTGGCCGTTGCTAAGTTTTCTGAAGTCGACCGCACTATGTGACTGCTTATAAGCGTTCAATGGACCGGGTCACGAGTACCACGCGTTGCCCTTCACCTCTCCTCATTTTTTTTCTGGTTTATTCCCCTCAGCCCTTTCCCAAGTGCAGGGTAGCAAACTGGGCGTGCGTCTGGTTTACCTCCTTGCCTTTCATTTTTTTCTTTCCTTCCTCCTCCTCCTCCTCCCTCTTTGTAAGCCTCCTGGTTTCTGCACTGTAGGTATACGTACCAGCTAGATGCCTGTTACGAGTTTTGAACTCATGATTGTGTCTGGGGCATTTTCCCCAACTTCGCGCACCAGAAGCATGCATGAAACTTTTATTCACGTTTTTAGACAATAGCGGTCAGCGAGAAAAACTGTCGCGACACCTTCAAAACTCGTAATAAGTCACTGTGCCAGCACACGTACTCGCCCTAGAGACAAAAAAGTCCATATACTTACTTTTTTTCAAATTATCCTAAGTATTTCTTCTCTCTCATTTCTTGTCTTTCAGACCCCAATCTCCTTCCCCAAGCTGAGTAGCAAATCAGCGATATACACACGCCGGCTAAATTTTCTGATCCTCAATACAGAGCTCTCTCTCGTTCTCATAATAAAAAAAGAAATGGACATAAACAGTACCCTGTAAAACAGGCCCAAGAGCGGATGGCCAGCAGTCCGCTGGCGTAGGATCAGAGTCTAAGCCAAGCTCTAAAAATATATGCCGTGCCCACACCAGGGAGACTCTACCCCTCATGATGCGATGCAGCCCGGAGGGTGCACCCTCTACTCTACGCTTATACTTCCCTCGTTATTCTCTTCCAGAAAATTATCTGGTATCTGAAAAATAATGTAACTAGAGCTATCTGTTATTAGTGGTGAATTTCAACTGTGGAGCTGTTTATTTTAGTAAAAATCCGTCAGGTATAACGCTGTAAACCACGATGCCATTATATCACGTGTTTCTGCTGCCTAGCAGCCGTTTGGCAAAGCATTCAAACCTAAAGGATGCACGTAGCTGGGTAGGCCTCTTTGTTTGTCTTGCTATTTCTCCTTTCTTCGTCCTCTTTCTCTCATTTTCTCTTTTCCAGAGCTGCCTCATTTGTCTTTGTTTCCACTTGTTTCTATTTTGAACCTATTTTGAATGCGAAGCTTTTATTAGTGAACTTCGGCGGCTTTAAGCGTATCTATCTATCTATCTATCTATCAAGCCGCCAACGACTTTTAACTCTCCTGGCTGTTTTGATAATGGTATCGATGCCAAACTTGGTATGGCATAACATGACTGTATGAGGATCATATTTTACTAGTCATAACATGAAAATCATGACATGTATGTCATGAATGTCATAATTATATTTCATGGTTCTGCAGCTCTCGTGGTGGTTGAGCTCACATGACATGTTGCGAAACTAATGTGGTATGACATTATTGCATGGCGAACACAAGCTACAGACACTAACATGAAAATTAGACATGCGTGTCATGTAACAACATCACTACATGCCACGCTCATATTGCACTCACGGCCATTTCGCTAGCATCATATATTCCAAATTTGGTATTACAGTACGTGAATGTATGACAAAGGCACGTGACTGGTGCGAACATGATTATCTGCAACGCTCACGATGCGCTGGCGGCCGTTTCGCTAGCTTCACGAATACCAAATTTGATTTTACAGGACGTGAATGGATGACGAAAGTATGATACTGGTGGAAACATGATTAACATGAGATGCGTGTCATGTAACAACCTGATTACATGCTACGCTCATTATGCACTCGCGGCCGCTTCACTAGCTTTACATGTACCAAACTCTGTAATACGCGACGCGAACGGATGACATGGGTAAATGACACATCTAAACATGATACTCACGACATGCACATCATGTACCAACATGACTCCATGCCCACTCATGATGCACTCGTGGCCTTCACATATGCCAAATTCGGTATTACGTCACGCCAACGGATGACGAATGTATGTGACTGTTGCAAACATGATACTCATGAGATCCATGCATGTGAAAGCATGCCTACATGCCACAGTCAAGGTACCAACACATTTTGACGTGACGCGGTGCGCTCGCCGGCATTCATTTCGTCGCGTAACGCCGGTGTTGCCACGCCAGGCACCAGTCCTACTATATACTCGCAGGCGCGCGCCGCACTGCGTTGCTTTGACGCGGGCCCATTTCTGCGCGTCCGGCTTCCCTCCGTCACGAAAACATAGAGACGCATTGTTGTCTAGGTAATCCATCGGCGTGAAATGCGGCATGTCGTATTTCACGCCGGTTCCCGTCGGGCCGCACCCACGGACGCTAGTCCCGCCTGGCGTCAAGACTGTAGAGCACTCGCGCTTTGCTAACGTAGCGTCGCTGCGCCCAGTGTGCGCGCGCGTCAGCGCTACATTCAAATATACTGGGCCCTTCAAGATCCACTCGTGGCTGTTTTGCTAGCTCCACATATACCAACTTTGGTGTTAAGTGACGTCAACGAATGTTGTAAGTATATCACCGGCGCAAACATGATAATCCTGACACGCGTATCATGTAAGAAGATGACAACATACCACGCTCATAGCGTGCTCACGGTCGTTTCGCTAGCTCAACATATACTAAATTTGAATTCATGTGACGTGGATGGATGACGAAGGTAAATGACACATCCAAACATGATAATCATGACGCGGAAGCCACGTGCGGCATCATTTACCTCCACTTTGTAATGGTTTGCTGAGTATAAAATGTTTCTGTGGTTTTCAAATTCCAAGAAGCTTTTACTTCTCTGTTAGGTTCTCCTGTATGTAACATGGCCTGCAAGCCTAATGAAAGACCAAGCTGCCTCACAAAAAGCCCAAATTCTGCTTTCAGTATGAAATGCTGTAAGTATTTTTGTTCTTTTAGTTGCTCTTTGTGTGAAGCACTATTTCATAAAGCTTGCAACGCAAATATTATATTGGTGGTGATCACTATGTTATGAAACATTTGTCCTTAAACCTTTGTCCTGGTTGCGAGTCAGCAACAAAGGTCAGTGCCACATTCGACAAACAAAGGCCCGTCGTGAGCCAATGAAAACACTTTTTTTACTACTTAACATTACCTTATTACAGGTCTGGGTGTACCAGTAAGCGTGGTAGAACAATAAAAACGTCATTAGACAAGTAGCAAGCGAATACCTCCACTCCTCCAAACACTTTTCAGTAAACGAAAAAGCCTCATACATGGTAATCCACCAGCCTCGAGTGAGAACGCGTCTTATTCCGTATCTTTGCTACTAAACATGTTCTTTACGGTGGAGCAACCATGCTCTTGAAGCGCCATGTTTGAAAAATTAGTCATTTTGTTCTAATACAAGTGCGCTTGCAAGGTGCCCACGATGTCATAAAGCATAACTTTTCCCAATCCGGGAAGCATCCACAATACCATTATTCCTCATTTTACGGAGAGGCAAGGTACCCGCTATGCATATGCACGGCATCTTGCGCACTTTGTTAATGTGTAGATGTATGAAGCGAAAGAATGGCCATGGGCCTGAAATAAATCGAAAAGCAATGAAGGTGCTGAAACGTTGTCTCGAAGAAACAAAGATTTGTGACCAAGCGGACTATAGCTAAAAGTGATCGTGGCTAATACGCGCTTGTTATGCCCATATGAGGGCTTTTGTGCTCATCTAAGACTGTAGATATGTATATATGCTATTTTGTTCTTTCTATTTCTTTATTTGTAACAATCAATGGAAAAGGGGTAGCCATCGCCAAGTAACTGTGACAACTCCTTTGTTCTTTTTCTATTTCATTAAAAAAACTATTTGGGCTGAGTCCGTTGTGATGGGCTGGATGTCTATTGTAATGGGCTGTAAGCAGTCAATGATCCTCTCATTATGCAATTCATGTTGTATGACCCCTGGTTGCTGCTTTACTATTCTACCTAAATATATACCACATAATATTGGATTCCTTCTGACATAACGCGTGTATAGAGAGGCTTTTTGCGACGGAGTTTCTTTGTCGCAAAAGTAACTCTGTTCCATCTCTGTAACTCTGTAACTCTATTCCATCTGAAGCATTTCTTTTAAAGGCGAAGCTTCTTATAATGTAGGGCAATCGCGCATTCTTCCGGTGGCGTAATCAGCCCAGCATAACGGACGGACGGGTGGACTTACAGACAGGCAGACAGACAGACAGGCAGGCAGGCAGGCAGGCAGGCAGGCAGGCAGGCAGGCAGGCAGGCAAGCAGGCAAACAGGCAGGCAGGCAGGCAGACAAACAGACAGAAGAGGCCTCCTAAACAGCTAAACAAGCACGTTCTATTGTTCCTTATTCGAAGCAAATGACGGGGAATGTAAGTGACGTCATGAAAAAACGTTGCTGTTAGGCCGTGCGATACTCTCCACTGCGTCATTCACTTATGCATTAAAGCTGCATTCTGTGCCTATAAAGTGATAGCATGGAAGTTCAAGCCTTTTAGGGTTGAAGCTCCTTAGAGTGTAGGCTAGTTCTTTGTCGTCCATCGTAGCCACACCTAGTACTCGAAGTGTCACTAGATGGTGCTGCGGCACTTGCTCTACTAGGATGCGAAGACGCGTGAATTAAAGTCATAAGAGATGGGTGGACTGATGGACAGACAGACAGACAGACAGACAGACAGACAGACAGACAGACAGACAGACAGACAGACAGACAGACAGACAGACAGACAGACAGACAGACATCCAGGCAGGCAGGCAGGCAGGCAGGCAGGCAGAAAGGAGAGGCCTCCTAATCATCTAAACAAGCATATTCTATTGTTCTTAATTCAAAGCAAGTGATGAGGAATGTAAGCGACGTTCTGAATAAGCGTTGCTATAAGGCCGCGTGATACTCTCGCATCCACTCGGATGAGTAGGAGACGCGGGATTTAAACTGATTGGAGACGGATGGACTGATGGACAGACACACGGACGGATGGACGTACAGAGAGACAGGCAGACATATAGAAGTCAGACAGACATACAGCGAACGGACGGACGGACGTGCAGACAGACAGACAGACAGACAGACAGATAGACAGACAGACAGACAGACAGACAGACAGACAGACAGACAGACAGACAGACAGACAGACAGACAGACAGACAGACAGACAGACAGACAGACAGACAGAGCAAGCCTCTTCACCATTATTCACTTCGTGGATATGGCATAACTTTTTTTCATTGAACTTCAGAGGTTCCATGTTTTAAAAGTATGAAGTATAAGCAAAACTCCACGTATGTAAAAAGTGGTACAGCTAAATACTTCTGCTCTGCAAGCCTGAATATTACTTTTTTCTATTACTTTTGCGCTAATATTCTATTCCTTTTGGTTGTTTTCAGGTCCAAAACAGTGGCGGTGTTTGTATTGTTGGTCTAGTAGTTGCCCGAATTTCGAATCGCTCACTTGCAGTAATTCTCGGGGCATCTGCAAATGCTTTTGCAGTAAGTGGAATTTTTATTTTCTACAAATGTATTTTATAACGTGAATTTGAAGGCCGAAATTATTGTTTATTGTAACATAAAGCGCTAAAGTGCCAATAACAAGGTGCACTAGGAGGCAAACAAGAAAAGCAAGAAGTGCTTGTGTTGCCACTTTCTCGCCAGGTGAACATGGTTTTAGTGAATCATTCCTATGGTTTTGTTACTAGAGGCTGCATATTGCGCAAAAGCAGTACTCCCACGGTAACCTCTGACATAAACATGTCGTTCTTAATACTGGTACGAGTCAGCAAGCGCTTTTGAGAACGCTCGGCGATAGAGCACTGGATGGGGTGAGGAAGATGATGTTAAATGTTCTCATCCTCTTCTTTTCCGACAGCTTCTCTTTCTTCGCTGCAGAGGTGCCGTTACCTTTCTCCTCGCACAGACGAAGCCCACCGGGCAAGTCAGGTGTCCTCTCACTGTACATGGCCAGTGCCTCCTATATACTTTCAGTGCCCGGTAAAAGCGCAAGAGAAAAAAGACTCTTCCTTCAGTGAAGGTGCAGCGTCTTGCCACCAGCCACCGCCCCCCAACAGGGCGGTGGACGGGGCACAGTTCGCTATGCGCTGCAGCCAGTGTAGGCCTGGCGCCGCGCTTAGAATAAAAGAGGTTCATTCTCAATTTTAAATGCGAAGCATTTCTTCGTGAACTTCTGTGACTTTTATTCTATCTATCTATCTATCTATCTATCTATCTATCTATCTGTCACAAAACGAGCGCTCAAAAAGGGCGCACCGCCAAATTCTCGCGACGAAGCGCCAGAGAGACGCCTCGAAGTCAACGATTAAAAAAAAAGAAAACCAGCATCCATAGACCCCCGGGCGCGCGTCTCTCTTCCCTCGGAAGCGTAGGTTCGCCGACGAACCTCCTCACATCGGCGGCCGAGCAAGCCCTGGAAAGTTCTCGATGGAAAGGGGCGTGGTGATGCAGGGTTGCGTCATCTGTCGCGGACGGCCCTCGAACCGTCTCGTGCTTTCCTCCAGCCTTCGCTGCGCATCGCGCCGACGATATTATGAGAATTTTTGGAATCTCGCGTGGAAGGTATTTAACCGAGCAGCAGAGATGGGAGATCAGGAGAAGAAGAAAGTATGCGCCAGAGTGCGTAGGGTGTTCTTCCGTGTAGTCGGCAAAGGTTTTGTCCTCAGTGACAAAGCAGGAGAAGAAGGAATATTGCGCCAGAGTGCGTAGGGTGTTCCGCCTTGTCGGCGAAGCCTTTTGTCCTCAGTGACAAAGGAGAAGAAGAAGAGGATTTCCACCTGAGGGGTGAAGACTCGAGCTACAGGCAAGAGTGCGTGTCTACCGCCAGCGAGCGAAGACGCGTGGCAACAGTTGCGTGTGGGAAGCCGACGTGTTACCGGTGAAGACGTTTGCTGCTTGGAGAGCGACCAATTGAAGACGCGAGGTTTCCTGGAAGAGAAACTTCGGGGGCAGCGGAACGACAACACCGCTGGACTTTGAGTGAGTGACTCTCGGAAGAGTATCATTCAGACTTTTGTTCCAAGGACTTTGGACTGAATAAGTTTTAGAACTCTTTAGTCTTTGAGTGCCTTGGCTGTTCGATCCATGCGACTGCATTGTTGTGCGCATTGTGGTTTGTATCCGTTGTTTCGAGTGTGGTGATTGTACTGTGTAGTACGTTGTTTGATTGGTGACATATTGTATTAAACTATTGTCGAGTGTGCATACTTGTGTATCGTTTTGATCTACCATAATTGAGAATATAATTTTGTTCTGTTTAGCAACTTTCGTCTCTGACATGTTCTTTGGACCACAGCCGGCGTCCGCTGGCGCGCCAAATAGGACCACTTCTAAATTGTCCACGCTTTCGTGGTGCAGCTCGGGGGGGGGGCCGATATTTCGGTCCTTGGAGTTAGCCCGGCGATCGCCTCCCTAATTAACGGGACCCGTGACACTATCTATCCATCTATCTATGTATCAATCTATCTATCTATCTATCTATCATCTATCCATCCACCTACGTCTTTTAGCTCTCCTAGCCGTTTTCATAATAGTATTGATAACAAAAGTTGTAGGCAGAACTTGACTACGACGAGTATAAGGGACTAGTCATAACATTAAAATCATGAAATGTATGTCATGAATGTCATGATTTACATGGTCGCTGCTTTTGTGATGGTCTCGTTTACATGACATGTTTAAAAACTGGTAGGTATGACATAAAAAACTGCATTGCAAACACAAGTGACAGACCCTAACGCAAATTGTGACATGCACGTCTTGTAAGCCAGTACTACACGCCACACTCATGATGATTTCGCGGCCGTTTGGCTAGCTTCACATACACCAAATTCGTTAGTACGTGACGTGAATGAATGACAAAGCTATGTGACCGGTATGTAACCAAGGTATGTGCCACGTCTCTCATACATAATGAGATGCGTGTCATGCAACAACATGGCTGCATGCCGCGCTCATGGTGCGCCCGAGGCAGTTTCGGTTGCTTGATATATACGAAATTTAGCATTACGGTAAGTGAATGGATGACGACGGTATGTGACTGGTGCAAACATGATAATCATGAGATGACTGTCATGTAACAATATGACTACATGCCACGCTCACGGTGTGCTCTAGGCCGTTTCGCTAGCTTCACATACACGAAATTGCATGACATGGGTGTCATGTAACAACACGTTTACATACCACACTGATGATGCGCTCACGGCCGTTTCGCTAGCTTCACGTATACCAAGTTTGCACTACTATACTGGTACCAAGTTTGCAATAGCACTGCTGATGCCAAGCCAAAATAAAGTGAGATGCTGGGTGAATTTCCTTGAACCTCTCTGTGTTTTCTTTTTCTTTCTCCCGTACGTTTGTTTTCTCTGTGTCTTTAGTGTGTGTCAATTTGTATTTATTATTTTCTTTCTCAACTTGTTCTTTCTTCTTTCTATTTCTCCTCTCCCTTCATGTCTCTGTTTTCATTTCTCAATTTTCATATTTTTCTCTATCTCTCCTTCTTTGTATATTTCTCTCTTGTTTTATTTCTCCACCTACCCCTTCTTCTCGCTCTAGCGTTTTTTTTTCTGACCCCTTGCTGTACCATAATATACAAGCCTACGCTTGCTAGGGTGCTTGACCAGCTAAGTCATTTCCAAGCTCGCCCGCACATCGTGGATACGCGGGTTAGCATCACGCCTTGGCAAGAACTGCTCCACAACACAAAAGCACTAACTGTGCTACCTGACGAACAAGTAAAAGTACACAAACACACAGGCTCCACGTCGTTTCAGGAAACGCACTTATTTGTTTTGTGTTCAGATGCACCAACTCTCCCAGTGACAACTCCTAGAAGGAATTGCTTCATTTCTTTCTCTAATTTTCTCTCACTCTACTTTTCCTTTCTCCCATCAGCGTTATACTACCCACACGGGACCAATAGGTGCACGTGTTAAGCGAGCTAAGCAGAAGATGAAGAATAGGAGGAAGATTAGGACGAAAACATTATGCGGTAGGTTATGCCTATCACAGGCCACTGTAAATGTAACATGGCACAACAAAAAACTCAACTCCTCTTAGAATTCAGGCATGTCACGCACACTTCGACAATTACAATTGCCACAGTGTGCGACAATTTTTTCACAGTGGGTGGCCGATTGTGGCACAGTTCATTTTCGAGATCACTGTTGAAAGACGGATCAACTTTTCGAACAGTGCATTAGTTCCTGCCAGTTCACGTGATAACAGCCACTAAAAGTGGGTACGTGCCAGCCAGCTTCTGGCATAGTAAAGATAAACTTAGTATGGAACATTAAAAGCCAGGTGTAAAAGCGAAATGGGGGTGAGAAGGCGTGATGAGATGCTGAGAAGGAAGGAAAAGTTAAACCATTTTTCACTAAAGTTAACCATTAGTGTTCACGCAAGCAGCGCACGAGTTGACTTAATGTTCCGTTAATGACGAACCGCTTGCCCGATGTCAACGCGTCCTTGCAAGTGGCACACCCTGAATTCACTGCCATAGATTTTCTCTCGCTCTTACTCGACCAGTACTCTTGTTGGAGCGCGCAATGCGGGTTCATCTCCACTCCACGCGAGAGCACGTGAGTTCATAGCACGTCTGGAGAATCTCGTTCTCCGACGTTATCACGTGATTGCTGAGAGTAAGAAGGAGAGGTTATAGCATTGCACACAGCCGCTTATAGGAGCGAGGATGAGAAGGGAGTGTGAGAAGGAGTGAGGATGAGAAGGAGTCATCTTTGGGTGAGAAGAGAAATAAACAGTAGATGGCAGGATAAATTAGCACAACCATGAATTGTATACCATAGCAAGAAATGGCAATAAGAATTGAGGTGATTAGGAATAATGGGAAAAGAAAAAGGTGGACATAAGACAGTGAAGAAAGATATAAAGAAAGAAAGTGGAATGAAAATGATGATGTGTATAGAGATTAAAAAAATAACAAACATTGTAAACGGAGGAAGAAAAGAAGATTGCGCGAGTGTAATGAACTAAATCTGCGTTCTGCGGGTGGGGGCGCTTGCTTTCCAGCTATGCTGTTTATTGAGGTGGCTCAAGCGTCTAAATGGTTTTATTTTTGTGTAACACGTGTAGTTATGCGCGTGGTATAAGCTCATCATACACGTCGTTTTTACTACTATCACTTAACAATTGTTTATACTCTCATCCGAACCAGCGTTCGAGCAAGTAGAGGTGGCCGCTATTGCGCGCTGATCTGCGTATTAGAAATAACGTGTTCTGCGCACCTTTAGAGGGGTCTATATGTGGCAGAATCAGAAAAGTATGTTTGTAATATTTATTGAATTGCTGTAGGAGAAGACGAGCCAGCCCTACGTGACCCTATACGTAGCATTACGCAGCAATAGCCGAGAGTCAGCCAGCTTTATAATATATGGCTTTGAGCATCACGCTACACCCCCAGACATTTAACTGCAGTTAACCAGGGCAAGCTAACGGAGGCAACCACAAACGGTAAATGGAGATCACAATCCAACACCATCTGATGGTGACCCGTCGTTAGGGAACACCTACGCTGTGTTTACGAGCATTAACAAGTGCTAGTGAGGGTAGGCCAACACTAGCAGGTAGTCAGCATACATCAGCGAATCATACCCAACCTTCACCAGCACTTCCTACAGTGTACTTTCAGCTAGCGGACGTTCTGTGGTGTCCCAAAACGAAGATTAGTCACCACAAGCCAAAATCAGTTTCTACTAACACCATCCAGCAGTGAGCAAACAGAACGTAACACGTTTGCATCACTAGCCAACACTAGCAAGTGTTAAGTCACCTAAACAACGAACATATGGCATTAGCCCGAGTGGGCATTTGGAAACATGAAGAAGTGCTACTCACCGGCAGCTGACAAGTACAGTGATGCCAACATGAGACAAGTCGAATATGAATATAGCCAGCGCTACACCTACCGCAAGCCACACTTCTCTGTGCACTAGTACGCATTTCCCCCACACAAGAATACATTTCACAACAGTCCACACTCTGTCCCCTGATATCGGTTTTGTCTTTTTTACAATGCCCACCATGTGACTCGAGCTAGAGTTTCCCAATACAGAGATGCATCTTAAAACGAAAGAGCCTAACTTCTTATTTATATAGTGTGTGATGTGTGCCACACCAATTTTTGTGTTTGGATTTATTGATTAATTAGGCAATAATTGTAACACAGTTTTTAAACCACAGAAACCGAACAAAATAGAATGACAAAATTACTGACCGTTTTACGAAATGCCACGTTAAGTTACGTGTATTTTTTTGTCTGTCATTTTTATTCTGTTTGCTGGCTGTTCCCGTGAAACGCAAATAATAAATATTGACACGAGGAAAGTTTGAGAAAAACAACCGTGCGTTAATATAACAGAAATTAACATGCCAAGATTTCTCTTTATATCTGAACTTTCTACAAGTGTCCTCGTCTGGTTTGACTCGGGTATAACTTGCGCATTGTTACATTCTTCCGTGTCGGTTAGGGTTTTTCTGATTATATTGTTTTTATTTGTGACACTGTTGTAAAATTACTGATATTTGTTTTGCAGAGTTTCCAGCCGGCGCATCTTTTCCGGCAAAGCAACCACTACAACAACGCCGATACCACTCGCCATCTCGCAGGAGGCCTTGAGCACCTGATTGGGGCTTGAAGTGAGTGCGTACGCCACGCTGAAACTGTAAAAGAGCTCGCAAATCATAAACAATAAATGATGACGAAACTAGTGTTCTGATGATTCATATTTGTTGTCTTTGTTACTTCATGGCTGTGTTATTCTCCAAATGTCCTAAACATTCCCTAAAAAGAAGATAATCCGATACTCAACAAACACTAAACGATCAAATAATACCCTTGAAGACAGGTAAGAGACGTCCTGAAAGAAATGTTTAATCAATATGTAGACACCAGCTTACACTTTTATTCTGTCAAGAGAAAGTGATACAGTAAACGCTAGTTTGTTCGCCCTTTGTTAATTTAGAAAATCGTATAATAAGGGCGTGTTGTCTGGGCCCGGTCAGTGTATGCATTATCTAATGGTATCGAATGATAGTTATTTCGATCACATTTAACAGCAACTGTACTAATACAGCCAATCCTTGAAGCGCGCCGAGACCGGTTAGCCGCACATGCGTGACGAAAAAAAAGGCACATCCCACGTACAATGCAAATCGATGATATGCGAAGCACGAATGAGAATTGTTGATATTTCCCTTTAAATGAGCACAACGTTACGAGGTGGGGGTAAATTATGCCGTACATGTCTTCCGTGTTATGATTATCATGTTCGGATGTGTCGTTTACTTTCGTCATCTATTCACGTCATGCGATACCAAGTTTAGTATATCTGGAGCTAGTGAAACCGCCGCCGGCGCATCCTGAAGGGCCCATTATATTCCAATGTGGCGGGGACGCGTGCGCACGCTGGGCACAGCGACGCAACGTTAGCAAAACGTGAGCACTCTATAGTCTGACACCAGGTGCGACCAGCGTCCGTCAGCGCGGCCTGACGGACACAGGCGCGAAATGCGACATGCTGCATTTCACACCGATCCGTTACCCAGACAACACAGGGTCTCCCTCTTTTCGTGACGGAGGGACGTCGGACGCGCTGAAACGCGCATGCGTCAAAGCAACGCAGCGCGGCGCGTGCCTGTGATTATATGGCAGGACCGGCGCCTAGCGTGGCAACACCGGCGTGACGGGACGAAATGAATGCCGGTGAGCACGCGCACCGCGTCACGCCTAAATGTATTGGCGCCTTGACTGTGGCATGTAGTCATGTTCTCACATGACACGCATCTCATGATTATCATGTTCTCAACACTCACATACCTTCGTCATTCATTGGCGTCACATAATACCAAATTTGGCATATGTGAAGCTAGCGAAACGGCCGGGAGTGCATCATCAGTGTGGCATGTAGTCATGTTGTTACATTACACGCATGTCGTGATTATCATGTTTGGATGTGTCATTTCCCTATGTCGTCAGTTCGCGTCGTACATGTCGTCCGTTCGCGGCGTTCGCATCGTCCGTTCGAGTTTGGTACATGTGAAGCTAGCCAAACGGCCGCGAGCGCATCATGAGCGTAGCACGTAGTCATGTTGTTACATGACACGCATCTCATGTTTATCATGTTTGCACCAGTATCATACTTTCGTCATTCATTCACGTCCCGTAATACGAAATTTGGTATAAGTGACGCTAGCGAAACGGCCGGAGCGCAGCATGACCATGGCACGTAATGATGTTGTTACATGACACGTATATCAGGGTTTTCATGTTACGGTCTGTGGCTTGTTGTGTTCGCCATGCAATCATGTTAATCATACCAGTTTAGCTACATGCCACGTGAACCTATGCCACCGCAAGAGCTGCAGGACCATAAAATATAAATCATGACATTTATGACATACATCTCATGCTTTTCACGTTATGACTAGTCAAATATGTTCTTAATACAGTCATGTTATGCCATACCAAATTTGGTATTGATACTAGTATCGAAATGGCCAAGAGATCTATAAGTCGTGGGCGGCCAGAGATAGATAGATAGATAGATAGATAGATAGATAGATAGATAGATAGATAGATAGAGATAGATAGATAGATAGATAGATAGATAGATAGTAGATAGATAGATAGATAGATAGATAGATAGATAGATAGATAGATAGATAGATAGATAGATAGATAGATAGATAGATAGATAGATAGATAGATAGATAGATAGATAGATAGATAGATAGATAGCTAGATAGATAGATAGATCGATAGATAGATAGATAGATAGTAGATAGATAGATAGATAGATAGATAGATAGATAGATACGCTCAAAGGGACCGAAGTTCGCTAAGGAATGCTTCGCATTCAAAAAAAACGAAAATGGGTTAGCAAACAATGGCGATGAGGTGCAGCTGTCGGCATCGTTAGCTTCATCAGTTCGTGAAGACGGTTCGGTCGATAAGTGAGTCATGCACACAGCAGCTTCATTATTACTCAAGGCATGCGCGTGCACTGTCTAAGAACTGAAACATGGCGGAAGCTGTTGAGCATGAGGATGTGTGATTCGCATTCAGTATGTCGGCATTAAACTCGCCTTCTACGTACATCGTGAGGAACGAACTGTCTGTCAGCCATTTTACATGCCAATGATATATCGTCCCGTGTGCATAGGTGTGGTGGTGGTGTGCAGTAGAGGAATAGGGAACATGTTTCGAAGTGATTGAACATGGAAGCACACCGCCATGATCGTGTTCAGAAAGAAGTCACAAGATGATACGAAAAATGGTGGTTCTTACAAAGCGTTTATTCAAAACGTGTACCAAATTTACGTCTTCGTCAAAAAATTCATTGATTCTTGTATTAGACATTTGCTCAATGTTTTCTTGATGCTTCTCATTAATAAATGTCACTGTATTTTTGACATTTTCTGTGATGTTACAAAATTCAGTTTAACGAACGTTTACCTCCACGCAGATTTTGCATGGCCCATAATGTGGTTCGAGGCCTTAGGCACTAGGTAGCAGCCGCTGGTACTTCCATCACCTTAGACTCCCAAAAACAATGAAGAACAGTGGGAATGGGAAGATTGTCACTCTTCAGTGATATCACACATCATCGCGAATTTCAAAGGTGTGTTTCCACCCCTTACCAATAAAGTAAGCCAACCACAGTCTCTTAACAGTCAGCGATTGGATTCAATGCCTTCTTACGCCAGACATGTGAAAGACGGATAAACGGAAGACCTGTGATTCAATAGCAAATCTGGAGCAAATATCCTGGTGCTACGCGCGAATGTTATAGCTTTTGTTTGATTCGGTTTTCGGCCACAAAGCCTGTCAGGAATGCTAAGCGTAATCGGTGCTTTATTGTGAAAAAAGGTTTCCGATTATTGTTGATAGTTCTGTTAAGATTACGCGCAAGACGCGCACACTCATGATTACTCTAGAGCTCACGCGATGGCTGGTGATAAGGCTGCAATATTTGTTGTAACTTGTATAAACGCCGCCGCGCTTCGCCGCTTCTCAGCTGGCTGCCAGCCGGCGCTCAGTTCGCCGCTATCCGTGCTAGTGTGTATCACTGTATTCTGTATTTCTGTTCACCAGCCACAAGTTGGGCAAAATAAACAGTTCCGTCTTAGACCTATAGTCTGGTTCCTTCGTTGACGTCACGACCCTGTGACATCTGGTGGAGGGACTGCTCTTTTCAAGTACCAGACGCCCCTGCCAAGCCATGAACCCGGCGCCACTCATGAAGACATCGACCAAAACCCCGAGCATCAAGCGAGCCGCAAGCAGCAAGGTCTACCACAAAGGTTTGGGCTTTTACCAGAGAAGAGCCAGTAAACCAGGACCCTGACCACGGCCCCAGTGACGATGGCAAACCCTGCTCCACCTGCGCCTATTCTGCTTCGGCAACCCAGGAAGCCGCCAACCTTCCGAGGTTCATCCCTCAAGAACCCGAAAATCTGGCTTGAGATATGTAACATTGGCATTACTTAAACTGCACCAACTTAAAGAAGCTTCGACACGTTTAGTTCTCTTTAGAAGATGCCATTCAGACCTGGTTCATTTTCTATGTGTTTCCAAAGTGTGCTTTTGGTGTTCGTGGTGTTGCAGAGGAGACAAAATCCAGAATCGAGCCAATACCAGTACATCTTAAAACACCTTGACGATAACTTTTTATGTCCTTCGGAAATATAGAATGATAGTTCCTTGCAAGTGCACGGTGGTCTAGTAGCTAAGGCTCTCGAATTCTGGCCCGCAGATCACGGGAATGAATCCTGGTCGCGGCTGCTGCATTTTTGATACAGGCGAAAGTGCTGGATAACCATGTGCTTACATTTCGGTGCATGTTAAAAAAACTCAAGTGGTCACAATTTCTGCAGCCCCCCCCCCCCCCATGCCATGGCGTCTCTCATAATGATATGGTGGTTTCGAGACGTTCAACCTCAACAATTAATATTGGATACTGGTAGTGCAGATATATCCCAGATTGGTTGTCTAAGAGACCGAATAGAAAGGGCTATTTTACTTTCAATGCTTTAAATATTTTCATTGTCATTGTCTTTTCTCATTGCTGCATTGAAGTTGTGCGAAGCTCTAGGTATTTAAACGTTCTATGAATTTGGTACTTAAATGAAGACGTAATTGTCACCTTCAAAATGATCAGCGGAAAACAAATGAACATGTGGAAGCAAACGTTCAAAGGGATCAATGAAGTACCATGTGGGTTGATGCAAATAATACCTACTGTCCGTTTTTGCAAGCTATGTAAAATAATGTTAGCACACGGAATTACGGTGACATTAGAGCTCAGTCAACCAAAGGACCATGTAGGTTCTGTATAGGCTACTCCGCAATAAATTATATTCATACTATAAATCAGGTGATAGAGATATGGGCGGAATACAATCAACCCCTGTATATAACATTCATTGAATACAAGAAGGCGTTTAACTCAGTCAACATATGAGCAGTGATGCAAAAACTACGGATTCTGGGCACCCACAAACCCTGCATATACATACTGAAAGAAATTTACAGCGGATACAGCGCCACCATAGTTCTCTATAAGAAAATCGACAGAGTCCCAATAAGGAAGATTGTAAGGCAGAAAGACAAGATCTCACCACTGCTATTCGCCTCGTGTTTACATGAGCTTTAG